ACATTTTGGGATGTTTTTTGATGGTATGAAACCTATTGTCCAATGTATGCATTACTCTTGACTTCCGTTTTCACTCTAACTTAGATTGGGTGTTCAGGGGAACGACCGACCGGTTGGATTCAGACACGCCAGACCGACAGATGTTGATTATGTGGTTTCAGATCACCTCTGCCTTTCGCTGGCCCCTTTTATTACATACCAGATGAAGAAAAAAATCCAATATCTGGTTCAGAAATAGCCTTTGCCGAGTCCCGCACAACTGGATGTTCCAGTTTTCAAGGGAAATGGAAAGAGAGCCTGTGAAGCGACATCCACTTTTGGACGTTAACAAGGTGACACTCCATCTTAACTCCTCCTCCACATTTACTGGATTGGTTGAACATTGCAGAAGAGAACCTCCCCCAACAGTTTTTTTTCTTCTCGTCAAGACCAGTATATAGGGGATTTAGTTTCAGGCGTTTCTTTTATGCTGCTATGTTAGATTAGTTCAGGACAGACAGAACTCATAAAAGTTCAGGGCCAAACTGAAAGACATCCTGCTCAAAAAGCGTTGTCCAATGAGAAAACAATAGTGTGGGCCGCGGGGTTGAAGGCACTTAATGGCCTCATTACGGCTGCAGATTGAAGCGGAATGGAAAGAGATGCAGCCAAGAGGGGGTGAATTGAAAACAGCACTCTCCTGCTCTCCCCCTTTCTTTGGTCAGGGACCCCAATCGATACCTTACAACTGGGTTAATGAAAACACACTATTAATTCACTCTAAACTGCACATCCAGATAATAGGTTCCCAGTGTGTGCATAGTGAGGGGTACTGGACTGGAGTTAGAATGAGGCCTGGTGCACTCTGTTGGAGTTATCGCACAGCACAGAGCAAGCCCCCGAAACGGTCCCAAGATCTCATTTCTACGCCTCTTGACAAGGATCTAATGTTCGGAAGCACTTGGTGAAATCTCATGTTTCGGAACAAGTTGAGCTGTTTTCAGTAGTTGCTGTTATGCCAGCTGTACCAACTCTTTGGGAAAGGCCAGTGTATCAGGACAAAACAATGCCAGCCCACACAAGCCTGTCATCATGTACAGTCCTCGGGAGCATCAGGGACCTCTCCAGGTTATACAGAAACCAAGGCCTAACTAATCGATTAATGATGCTGCTCACAGTTCTGTTTTTCTCAAGGCAACATGCAGAATGTTAACGGAAAACCATTGCCTGATGGAAAACCATTGTTTACAACTTATCCTACGTTGCTCTGCTATATGGACATATTTTAGAGGCCATTATTACATTGTTAAAATTTGTGGCCTTTACTCAGTAATAGTAAAATAGTTTTCCTTAAAAATCTGACCATATCTTTGAACTATTTGGATATCATTCAGGAATTTTCTTGAAGGCACAGCTGCAATTCCCTGCTTCTCAGGAAAACACTCTGAATCATGGGTCTGTGAGTCACAAGTTTAGTATGTTATAATTAATGTGTTCCAGTAAGGGAGTTTGCTCAATAATGATAATACTAATAGCCTAATCGAATGTCTCTTCATACGGACTGAAGTATCCTTGAGTTAATAAGACTGAAAAATATTGAATTGGTGGTCCACTCTGTTGTCACAGCAACAAGAAAACAAACAATACATAACACTCTGAAGTATTCACATTTCATGTACCCATATAGCCAGCAAATAACTATAAATTATAAACATTTTGTACATGTAGTTTTCTTGGTTATCATTTTTAGTTTATTTTTAACATAGATTAAAGTAGAAATTAAAAACCTCTACTACCTCAGTATTATTGTCTTGTACCCTGCAAAAAAATATATGTGATTACTGGCTCCTCTTGCCCTTGTGCTCTCTAGCTCTGGCCAATACTACTGTGAACTGAAGTGGAGGGCCCGGACCACATGTGGTGGCCTATAGCCGTGCTGCGTGAGGGGGCCTTTCAGACAGCTTTAGGAATAAATTTCAGCTCTGAGAGCAGCTGAGACGTGGCAGCTCCAACAATCCGCTTCTTGACATTTCTTGCTGCTTCACAATTCCCCTAATCTCCCTCTGCAGAGCCCTCCACAACCAGGTGGCTCCCCTAATCACACCACATCACATGGATGCAAGGATAATTTGGTAACCTGTCTGGCATTTAATGGTACCACTACGTGACCAACCCAGGTAGAGGTACTGTGGTGGAAGAGCAAAAAACTAAAATCAAAAGCAGTGGAGGTAGGCCTACAGGCATGTTGCCATGTAAACCAAAGCACATAGAATTTTATGCTGTGGATATGTCTCCAGCAAGAGCCCTGGAGCTGTCTGCCAATGTTGCAAATCTGTCTGAGCATTTGTGCACATATTGGCTTAGGATGATATACATTCAAAGGACAAGATGAGTTGCCCTGGATTGATGATGATAATGTTATTACAGGAAAGCTGACCAAACACCACTGAGCCAAAACCTTATGGAGACACTCTCAACTCATTTGTATATACCCATTTAACTAACTGGACTAACTCAAACAAAACAACTCTACACATTATCCAAATTGTATGTCTAATGTTCATTGTTTCAGTTAGATACAGTTCTACAAATGTATTTTATTTTGTTCAGCATATCAGAAGACTTCTGTCTCTTCTCTTTTCTCTAGAAAAGGAAATGATTGAGTGACAGACTTAGCGGAGGATGGGAGATCATTCAACAGACACAAACTGTGAAGAGATGGTGGTGGGTGGAAGAGAGGGAGGTGGGGAACAAATCATGCAGACAACATGGAACATGATTGTATACACTTATGTTATAAATCGTCCATCCAAGTTTGAGTATCCCTTTGCTTCAAGTCATGTTATTGAGTGGCAGCACTTGCTAATGTTCATGCAAATAAATTGAGATGAAATTGCATGGATCAAAAGGTCACCTACAGAAATCTGAAGGAATTAAATAAGCAGTAAGAAGGTGGAAAGACCACCACAGCTCTAAGCAACAACATAGCAAGAATTGTGTTTTTCTCTGTCACATTTCTCAATTTCCCATCACTTTCATGGTGCACAGAGTCCGAATTCACCGTGATCTTCAGGTATTTCAAGACAAAGTAAATGTGAAAGTACTGTAGATTAAATCTGCCTTCCACCTAATTTAATTTAGTGCTGGGCAGGGATCTCTCATTAGCCTAAATGGACCAGAAACATGAGTGCTTATGTAAAGTGTATCATATATTAAAGGTATTAGATTTAAAAAGAAAGCTTGGCCTACCTCATATTTATCACACATTTTACACTTAAACTTTGTCCAGTTCAATTTAGAAATGCAGTATGCACGGTATGTTTTAATAATTCTTACTGGAACCCTGGATTTCTCTCTGGTATGAAAAGGACCCTGAGTTTTAAGCTTTGACTCACCATGTGTTATGTGGGTAACAGTAACAGTAAGGTCTACTGGAATCTCCCTGTGTCTGCCAAGCAGGGACTTGGAGAGGTGCACCAAGACGAAACAAGTCTGGGAATGGAGGACTGGCAGGAATAGTCCATTATTATTCCGATTTCCTCTCAGCTCTCAGACAATACGCCGGAAACACCAATTGCTCTGAGTTTCCTTGTTCTGACTAACACGTGAACAAGGCAAAATTGTCTTTCCACCACATAAAAAGACGCCATCTTGGATATTTTTTGTTGCTACTGCCTCTTTGTTGATTCCACCGTTTTGATTGGACGGCCCCAACTGACATTGATGGGCTGTCCTTTTGACAGAAAATAGGCCTATATTTGTGCACACCATTATTGATTACTTTGATTTCCACATGCCGGTCTCTTTGGATTAGAGGCTTAGATTACATTTAAAATCCTTTACAATGTATTGTATTTTATTTCTGCAAATCCTTGCAAAAACTGTTACATTTAATATCTTATCAATTAGAAATATGTCTTTACAATGCAATTATGTTCCATATTGTTTGTAAAACAGATAAACAAGTACATTATAATAGGCTGAGTGTCATGAATGTCTGTGGAATGCGGTAGGCCAGAGTCAAGCGCAGGACACAGAATGAAATGAAAATCTACTTTACTGAATAGTAAAGAAACAAGCAAAACCTCCAAAAACAGGGAGGAGCAACCCGCTCACAAACGACACTCGTAACAAGTAACAAACACGCCACAACCACACAGTGGGGGGCGAACAGGTTAAGTTTAAGGGAACCCAAGAAAAAAGACACCCTAGATAGAAGGAACAAGTGAACAACAGAAGAGGGCAGTCAGATTGACACTGAGATACTTTGAAAATATATTTCCCTACATAAGAGTGTATATTCAGATACTTTCAGTTTCAGTGAATAGATTAACAACAGATTGTGAATTATGCTATAGACAACAAAACTAGTAAGGGAGGAATCATAATGACTTTGCCATGATAAGCAGCAGAGCAAACATCTGCTCACCAGAGGCAGCTGGTGGGAAGAGCTATACGAGGACAGGCTCATTGTAATGGCTGAATTGGCCACCAGGTAGCCTAGTGGTTAAGAGCGTTGGGCCAGTAACCAAAAGGATGCTGGTTTGAATCCCCAAGCTGACTAGGTGAAGCGTCTGTTGATGTGCCCTTGAGCAAGGCTCTTAACCCTAATTGCGCTTGTAAGTCGCTCTGGATAAGAGCGTGTGGAAAATGTAAATATGTGGTTTCTATATGTTTGATAGCATTCCATTCCAACCATTACAATGAGCCTGTCCTCCTCTGCTGCTCACACTAGATCGTTTACCACCATTTCCAATCACGTCTTTATTTTACAAGATGCCTTGGGGTCAATCACTCAAATCAACTCAATTAAAGTCAAACACACAAACAATGGCTTGGTATCATACTGTCATACATATAATATCTGTGCCTTAGACGTACTTGCAGGTTCCAGAACATTGATACAGGGAAATTAAATAGGGGACCATCAATAAGTCTTGATGTCTTCATACAGAGTTTGGGCTAATGAACTCCTAAAAGCCTGAATCAATCCCATGATGGAGCAAACCACCCTCGATACACTACACAGAGATCCCAGAGTTAAGATGAGAAGGTTCATGGTGGTCCATTTGAGCTGCAGGTGGAAGAGATGGCAGGATGAAGGTCACGCTGCTCATCAGCCCCATGAGCAGGGAGAAGTGGGGCATGTAGAGAGCCATGAGGAAGGTCAACAGGTGACAGCCCTGCAGAACCAGAGTCCCTGTCTCCACACCCCCTGGCACTGCTTCCAGCCTCAGAACACTGCTCTGGAGGACCTCAGCCACAGCGTAGAAGGGCAGGGGGTAGGAGAGGAGGGCCTTAGCTAGGAGACACAGGTTGACCACCATGCGTAGGCCAGTGGGAAGGTTATCAATGATCACCTCTTTGATATCTTCGCCCCCAGGTGAGGAAGGCCAGCACAGAGATGGTGGTCTTCAATACACAAGCCAGGGAGTATGTCCAGCTCATTATGTTGGAGAAGTCCCCCTTGTCCTCCATGCTTCCCTCCAGGGTGGGCAGGAAGATCTGGGAGGTGTAGCTGAAGATGATGACCCCCACGGACACCAGGAACCTGTCAAAGTCCACCAAGAGGACCGTCCTCCTCCAGGACCAGCGGTGGGCTTGGTGCAGGCAGTAGGCTACCACGATGAAGGTGATGAGGAACTGGGCCAGGGAGCAGAGCAGGCTGAGTCTGGAGACCACGACCACCCTCAGTTCCCGGATCAGCATGCAGGGCACCAGGGTCAGGAAGGTCACCACGGACCAGGCAGCGGGGGGCAGTGGTAGGAAGGAGAAGCTGTGACACATGATGTTGGTGCTGAGCACCAGGTAGAGGATACATCATCAGCTCCACCACCTGTGCTGCGTTCACCACCCGGCCGCCCAGCAGGGGGCAAATGCGCTTACAGCAGGTGTTGGCGATGTCCTCGTAGGTGTCCTGCACTCGTATGGGCTGGCCCTCCTCGTTGTCCAGGCAGGATACGAGGATCTTACCTGTGTAGTTGCAGATGACCGCAGCCAGAACGAGCAGAAGCAGTCCTAGGTAGCCACTCTGAAGGAGTGCGTAAGGCAGCCCCAGAAAAAAGACACCCTAGGAGAAAGGAAAAAACAAGTGAACAACAGAAAGAGTGGGAACATGCAGTGATTTTTCTAATAAAGTGTGAGTCATCACCAAGGAGAGTGTAAATTACAGATCTTTGCCTGAGACATGATTGTTTGAAAATTGACACACATTAAAGGATGATTTCTTCATGTACTCTAGACTAATCAGTACACAACATTAACACAACAATCAAATCTGGCAACAAACTCCTAATTGGATAGTCTGAGCACAGTCTGGCTTCTAGTCAAATCACAATGCAGAACAATGTAGCTAAGTAAACAAACTCTGTTTATAATGCGATTCTGAGTAAATATGTAGATGCACTACATAGATAGAGTCAGGAAAGACAATAGGACACTGGGTAATTAGTGTTGTTGGAAAAGTATGATGATGGTATGACAAGATAAGATCTGAACAGATGAAGTTGTGAACAGATTTTCAATTAATCATGCTCTGGCATAGAAAATGTTGTGAACACAAACACAAGTAAGTAGCCTAATGATCATATTAAAAAGGCTGGGACACTGTTGATTCGAATACGAATAGGGGGAAAACTGCTGAAATGCACATTTACTTACACACTACAATTATGCTGTAGTTATTGAAATGGCCTAGTTTACAAACATTTTACACATGATTATTCTCAGCTTTTCTGTTTCTTCCATTAAATATATTTCCAATGCATCCTCTAGGCACAATAACAACAACAACAACAACAACAACAACGCAATACCGGTAATGCTCATCCAGTGCACTCTCTAACATTCATTATCATCCACAGACATTTCTTGAGAGTGGGAAAAACACATAAAACATAAGGTCAGAAGTCTGAAATCTAGGTACCTGAATGGCATTGGTCACGTTCCATCCCACCTCCCAGGTGGTGATTTTGAGACAGTTGCTGCTGGAGGGACTGGTAAGTGTCTCATCATTCCCCCACTATTGGCTGGAGGTGGTCGGGGACTCCCTGGTCTCGTCTTGGTTCTCTCCATAGGTCCTGCTCAACTCATCCCTCTGGGTGAACCCCAGGCTCATCTCATCCCCATGAAGGAACCTGGAGGTCCACAGCAGCTCTGCCCGCGACCCCAACCAGTCTAGCCTCATAAAATACATCATAGTGTGAGTTTAGAGGGCTTTGCCTTCAGCAAATGATACTGTAAACAGCCACTCAGGTCAGAATGAGATAGGCTACCAGCGTAAGTGAATGGTCGCCTCCCCATCACAAACTCCAACCCCAGCAGACAGTGTTAATCTCAGGGCTCAACCCCATGCAGTTAACGAGGACCACTGCACACAACATGAACCTGAGAGGCTAAATTGGCTCTCCCTGACATTTAAATGGTCTAACAGGTGAGACATTATGAGGGCTATTGACAGGCTGTTACAAAGGATAATCCCTTCCGGCTTTTAAGGTGAATCATCATACAAGAATATTGTGATATAATTGAATGTCTGGCCTCTGCAGAGGGCCTGAGAGAGTCTCACTGAATTTGTAAACTGTAATTTCTATTTTTAAACAACAAGATATGATAATAGTTGAGAGCTTTTGTGCAAATAACTTACATTTGTTGCAACTCAAATAGCTGCCCTTGGTTCAACTATGGCAGTTAGACTTAACACCTGAGGGAGCAATTGATCAGTGGTTCCCAACCAGGGGTACTAGGACCTCTGCAGCGGGTACTTGGCGGGTACTTGGCCTATCCGCAGTGGGTACTTGAGAAGACTCATGAGCCAATAGGCCTACTGGTAAAATGCACAGGGGTACTCCAGGCAGAGCAACATTTAGTTGGTGGTACAGTAACCAAAAAAGGTAGGGAACCGCTGCAATAGAGGACCAAGAGCATTGGTGCCTAAACTTTTTGCACTGATCTTAGCATCCATGATAAACCTTGTAGCAATACAGAACAAAATGACTGGAAAGTTCCTTTTTGTTTTCAATACATACTTTAGTCTGTTTCTTGTTATTATAAGCCCATCATTATCCTCATAAAGTTTAGTAAAAGTATTCTATTTCCCATAATCCCATTCCAAATGATCCCTTCACTTCTGTTCTGTGACGCCCCCTCCCCATGCGCGCTGGGATCAGGCGAGTTTCTTGAACTGGCAAAAGTCACTCATTGACATTCCCTTCAATTTCAGGTGCTGAGTCTGTCGAACATAAAGCTACTCTGCACGCTGCATTTTAAAATGAAAGGTCTATCGTTTTTTCTACTCACAGCGTTGCTATGGCAATTCAGCCGAGCGCAACAATGGGGTGAGTGGATCATTTGCCAAGTAATCGCTTTACTCACAATCTAAAATATTTCTTTGTGACTTGTGAATTAGTTTTAGGCTGGTCCAAGACTTTTCTTCTCCGTCGTTAGTACACACATTTTCCTTGCCAAGATTGCCCGTTTATTTAAGAATTTATTCTAGTCTTTTCATAAAGCAGGCAAATGAAAATCGTTTTAATAAATTACCTGAATATAATGGATAATTAAGAGAATATAGTTATCTTTTCTTTTCCAATTAGTTTTCCCTGAACCATTTATTAGAATAACAGTGTAAAAAAGAATTCTAGAATCTCTCTAGAATCTTCATGTTTGGGCAGCTGTGAGCCCACAGAAATGGATGTCAAAATAGAAAGGGATTCTATCAGAGATATCAGTTGGTGTCATCTATGTTTAGAGATGGATTGTAAAGATCCGCTCTGAAGTTAGAGCTTTTCCCTAATTTCAAATGCTGATTTCTACTTACAAACCATTTTATTTTTTAGTCTGTCACTAAGGGTAATGTGAATGAAATGTGTTTAAATGTAATCATTCCCTGTCACTGTAGGTTTGTGCCTTGTGTCAGTGTATGAATGAGACTTGTCCCTCTTCTTTATCACATAGAGCTTTGTTCAATGGCTGTTTTCTAGGTCAGTGATAGGTAGGATCTGTGTTCTCTCCTGTCAAAGGCAAGGGACACGTGTCCATTAATAGGTGTCACTGTGTTTGTTAATGGAATCCAAAGCGGGGGGGACTCTAAAATTAGGCAGGTGTTAGGCAAAAATAGTGCTATCTCATCCTGTATTCTAAAGATAGGCACAGGAAGGAGAAGGGAGAAGACATTATATGGATGTGTGTCATCATCATGATAATCCCAGTTGTCAGGAGTATTTTATATACAGAGCTGAGCAGACTGAGGTCAGCGTGTCTCTCTTCCAATGCTGTGGTCATTCAAAGCATCACCAAATCAGCCCAACAGATGTTTAGTGGGTGCTACATGGCTGTCCAGATGATGATACTGGATGAATTTGGGATGGATGATGATATGCAAAAACAACAACATAAGCCCCTTCAACATGAGACAGAGAAGCTACTGTAACAGATATGTAAGGTTTCTCAGGCCTGTGTTACTCCTCTGTGAGACTGTAGCTTCTTAGAGCGGCAGGTAGCCTAGCGGTTAGAGCGTTGGGCCAATAACTGAAAGGTTGCTGGTTTGAATACCCAAGGTGACAACTCTGTTGATGTGCCTTCGAGCAAGGCACTTTACCCTCATTTGCTCTGGGGGTGCTGTATTACTATGGCTGACCCTGTAAAAACAACATATATCATTGCACCTATCTGGTGTATGTGACAATAAAAAATATTTCCATGTAACATCCCTGTTTGCCAGGCCACCAGCAGTAGTATAATGTCACTGGGATTACTTTTCACTTTTTCTGTTTGTTTGTTTGTTTGTCTTCTTTCCCATTATGACAGAAAAATATCATGTTTACTGGTGAAAGAGAAATGTGTCTTTTTGTGGTCATTATGTACATGGTTCTGCAGAGCTGTGATTCCAAACTGTGTAGAATACTTTGAGTATAAAATCAATACTCAATTCTGCCACAATGACAATGAAAACTGGGGCCAACTCTAGTCTGGCTTAGTCTTAGTAAATACTGATGAAAGGATGCTAATAAAATTGCTGTGGGTGCTTTGGCATTCATTTGAAATTGCTGTGTCTATCAGAAACATGAATGGCTGTCCATTTGGTTTGAGGACAGAATGTTTGGAGTATAATAGCATAATAAGAAATGCATAGAAAGAAGGGCCTTGTTCATGAAATGGCACTGTATATTTCTAGTCATACAGCTATTGTTAAAGAGAAAATCATTGTGAGATTGCCTGGTATTGAGACTATAAAACATGTTTATCATGTATTTACAATAGTCTGACTGTTTCAATGGCTGTTTTGTTTAACATATTTGCGTATGTGTATAGATCTTGATGTGTGCTGAAAATTCTGTGTCCCAGAGTTGCATCCAATAGATCTCTGTATGGTAATCAAGTCAGAGTATTTAACTTGCAGAAGGACACTACTAAACACATCACAGGGCCTGCAGCCAGGACTTGAACCTATAACATTTTGGCTATTGCTGCCTCACGCATGGGCCCCATATGAAGTCCTTCAGAGAGCTGAGGGATTTCTTCTCTGAACCTCATGGCATACTCCCCACTCAGCAGCTGCACTGAGACACTGCTCTCATGTGATGTTGGCCTGTCTGTCCTGACTAAGTGATGGAAGGCCGACCTCTCGCTGCACCCTTTGGTCTCTGCAGGAGGCCTACCAGCGCTCTCGCTCTCTTGCTCTATCACTCTATCACTCGTCTTCCTCCCTCCCTCTCGCTCTCTCTTTCTCTCTCTTTCTCTCTCTTTCTCTCTCGCTCTCTCTCTGTTCTTCTTCTCCCTGTCACTCTGTCTCTCCATTTCTTTGTACCTCTACCTTTATCCCTTACTCTCTCTCTCTATTCCCCCCCCCCCCCCCAGACCCCATTAAATGAATTGTACCCTAAATTGAAAGTGCTGCAGAAATATGAGATTCAGTGAGGTGTTGGTAGAGCTAGGATGATAGAAAGAAAATGATCGATAACGACCGAACCGACCATTTATCAAGGACATTTTACTGATACCGATAATCACGATAAGTAGCCTTTACTGGAGGAATGTGAAGTTTGAAATGAATTAAGTCTGCTAATATGGGCTATTGCTAATTGGACAATTGATAGCTACAACATTCAAAGTAGTAGTTTCAAGGGTAATATTTAAACTGGTGCACATTTATGTTATGAATTTATCATTCAATTTATTATTATCATGATGATTCAGTCAATTTATCATGATATGAATTTTGTTGTTGCCTTCAGTGTTCAGCTGCCCTCTCAGGGTCATGACCCCTGACCTCAATCCAGGGCCTATCCAGTGCATGCTGTGTGGCTTTACTTTGAGAAAACACCACAAAGCTCTGCACTGGCCTACACACAAAACCCCATTATGTCAAAGTGGAATTATGTTTTTAGAATTTTGTACAAATTAATTCAAAATTAAAAGCTGAAATGTATTGAGTCAATAAGTATTCAACCCCACTTAGGAGGCATGCACACCACCCACCGCTTCCAAGTATACTACTCGCTAATGTTCAGTCTCTGGTTAACAAGGTCGACGAGCTCTGGGCAAGGATTTCTTTCCAGAGAGACATCAAGGCCTGTAACATACTTTGTTTCACAGAAACATGGCTCTCTGGGGATATTCTGTCGAAATCGGTCCAGCCAGATGGGTTCTCAGTTCATTGCGCAGACAGTAATAAATCTCTCTCCGGGAAGCAGAAGGGTGGAGGTGTGTGTTTCATGATTAACGACTCATGGTGTAATTGTAGTAACATACAGGAACTCAAGTCCTTTTGTTCACCCGACCTAGAATACCTCACAATCAAATGCCGACTGTATTATCTCCCAAGATAATTTTCTTTGGTTATAGTCACGGCCGTGTATATCCCCCCTCAAGCCGATACCACGACGGTACTCAAAGAACTTCACTGGACTTTATGCAAACTGGAAACCAAAAGCAAATTTGAGGACTAGGCTGCCGAAGTTCTATCAACATACTGACTGTTGTACTCGCGCTGCTAAAATCCTCAACGATTACTATTCGAACTTCCGGGATAGTTATAAGGCCCTCCCCCGCCCTCGTTTTGGCAAATCTGACCACGACTCCATTTTGCTCCTCCCTTCCTATAGGCAAAAACTTAAACAGGAAGTACCCGTGTTAAGGACTATTCAACGCTGGTCTGACCAATCGGAATCCACGCTTCAAGATTGTTTTGATCACGCG